CCAAGCCCCGCCCACCCTCCCCGCCTCCCGCTGTGCCGGCCCCGCCTTGCCTCGCTGCTCACCGCTTCCTGCTGCCCGCCCCACCACGCTCTGGCCACTCAGCCCCAGGGGCCTGACCCGGGCCCCGCCGAGCCCGAGGGCCATCCGGGTTGGGGCAGGTCCCCGTCAGGGGGAGGGCAGCGGGGGCTGAGCCGTCCACCCGTGCCGCCTTGGGGGCCCCCTCTTTTATTTCTGTTTCTTCCTTCCTTCCTGTCGCCTCTGTCGCACCTCCTCGCACCCTGCTCCTCTTCTGCGCCCTTCCCGCACGTGCCGCCTGCCTGCCCTCCAGCCCACCGATGAGAGGAGCTGGGTGTACTCCCCGCTTCACTATAGCACGCAGGCCCACCCCGCCTCCGACGGCGAGAGCGACACAGTAAGTGCGCCGTGGCTGGCCAGCCGGGCCCACTCGGGGCTCAGGTCCGTGGCCTTGGCCAAGGAGGGCCTGAGAGCCTGGCCTCCGGGCACCCCGGGACTGACAGGGAAACTGAGGCCCAGGGCGGGGGGGGGCAGCCGGGCTCTACCGCGTGGGGTCCTGTGTCCAGCCCTCATGGCTCCTGGGGTCCGTGGCCCCCGGCATCAGCTGTTGGGCCCGACCCGGCCAGGGGAGGCCCGGCGGGTGTGGGTCCGGCCCCGGCCCACCATGGCCTCACCCGCCCCCTGCCTCTTCAGTAATTCCTACGCAGGCACTGACGGAGCCGAGTGTCCGCTGCTGCCCTGGCTGCTCCCTGGAGGTGCTGCCCACCTGCTCAGCCCAGAGCTCGGGAGACGCCCGCCTGGCCGCTGGCCCTCGCCCTCGCCCTCCCCTCGACGGCGCGGACGCTCGGGCTGCAGCGATCCCAATCCAGGCGGCTCACCTGGCCCCGGCTCCCCGTCAGCTCCCTATGCCTGATACTGTGAACCCTCCTGAGTTTCCAATCATGTATTTATTTGGGGCCCTTATTCTTTGCACAGACATGGCAGCACACACGTGTGTTTTTTTAGAAAAAGAAAAAGGCCAAAAAAAAAAAAAAACCACCACACAATGGAAAAGAAAAAACTCCATTCCACTGCACTTCTGGTTCTTTGCTGTGCTTGCATGTGTCTTGCTGAGGGAACCAGGCCCTAGGCTCTGGGGACCTGCACCCCAGTGGAATCCATTCCAAGTCCTGGCCGGGATGGACGGGCCCCTGGGATGGAAGGGCCGCCGGGTCCCCAGGGCGCCTCTGGAGGCCTCCCATCACGCCTGCCAGGTGCTCTTGGCTCAGGGTTTTGGGCCAGGAGCCGGACACCGTCCTTGAGGGTGGCCGGGCGGTGGCTAGGGGCGCTCTCCACCCTGTCACCCCTGCCATCTCTCAGCATCTGTTTCCCACCTCCCCGGTGACCTTGAGCGGGAATCACCAGGCGTGATTAGAACCTCGATGTGGACGCACGGCCGCCCCCTCTCGATGGAACTCAGGGCCGTGGGCTTACCTGTCCTCCAGAAGACTGGCCAAGCTGGGAGGAGGCGGCCGGGCCCTCAGCCCACGGGGCTTCCTGAGAGCCGTGTCCTGGAGCAGAGACCCACAGTCAGGCGCCCGGCTTAGAGGACCAGACGCCCTTGAGTAAGAGGACTGAGGTGGGCGTCCTCTTTCTTTTTAACGGTGGGGGCACCTGTGCCGATTGAAGGACAGGAGAAGCAATTCTTGGTGAAAAACAAAATTTTTTTTTTGGATGGTCATCTTCAGCAGGGCAACCACTGCTGGGCCCAGAGCGCCACAGGCCGGCCGCCAGGGGCCCCTGCTGTGTCCACAGCAGGCTGCTGGAGCTGGCAGCTTTGCGGGGTCTCTCCCGCCTCTGGAGAGGGACACATCAGGGATGGTTTCCCCTGGCCCGCCCCGCCCTGCATGGGAGGAGCCGGGAGCTAGCGTGGACTGGAAGTTGCACCTTCTGGGAAAACTTCTCCCCACCTCTGCCTCCCTGGTGGAGCCTGAGACAGCTGGAGAACCCACGGACCCAGGAATTTGATTTTCTGAGTCCATTGCAAACTGCGCACGCTGCTGTCCTCGTGCTCGGCGGGCCCCCTCCTCGCCTCCCCAGCGCAGCCCGCTTCGCGCGCCTGGCCGGGACCTGTGCTTGCGCCTCTCCTCCCAGGAGAGCCGGGCTGCGCCCTGGGCGCTCTCCCCGCGCAGGGCCTCCAGGGACACTTCAGCATGAAGCAGCTCTGGGAAGAGGACCTGTCTGAACAAGCCCGCGGTGTCCTGGACTAGAAGCAAAACAGCGTCCTCCCCTCCTGTCCACGGAAGGTGTGTCCAGACTCCAGAACGTCCTCGCCTGGACTTCACACGGGCGCCCTCTTCAGTGCCTGCCCTGTCCTGCCCAGGGGGAGGCGGGCTGAGTGGGCAGAGGTCTGAAGGGGACCAACAGGGACTGCTGAGTCGCCCAAAAGCCGACCGGAGTCCCCGCCCAGGCCCCCAGAGGCCGTGCACAGAGACACTGTGTCCCGTGGGGACCACCAGAGCATCAGGCCCCACGTCCAGGGCGCCCTTAGCCACCTGGAGCTGCAGGAGCTGGGCCCCTCAGGCTTTCCTGAGTGAACCACGGAACAAATGCATCAGTCGGACGCTGACTTGGAGAAATTTGCAAACCTTCTGGTGATCAAGACGTTTTCATTTCTGTGCTAAGTCATGAACACCCCTTTGAAGACGCCCTTTGTGTTAGTTGCGTTCTTTGTCCCTTTTTCAGAGAACTGTCACACGGATGCAAAGTGGTCTGCGGACTGGGCCGATGGGAGGCACGTGCTTATGGTCAGGGCAAGGGTAGGAAGGCAGGACCTTATTTATCACGTGTAGTGAACTCGCGGCCTTCCCCAGGCCCCCAGCAAGGAGGGCCCTGGACCCACCCAGCTGTCGTCCCCACCCCGCCCCAGGATGGAAGTCTGTCGACTCCTTTGTGGCGATGTCCTGGTTCTGTCGCAGCTCGTCCCCGACGGCTGCTGTCACTGCGAACGTGGGCGCGAGTGTACAAACGAAAGGCGTGTTCTGAGACTGACAAGGTGGAACCTCCGGTGTGTCCCCTGCTGGCCTCTGGCCTCTGCCTCCTCTCGCCCTCTCCCTCCACCGCCTGGCTCAGTGCAATACTCCCGTCCCACTGGGGCCCCCTGCCATGGCACTGTTGCCGCAGCCCCTCGGTCCCCATGCCGGGACGAGCACCCTTGGCCACCTTCTCTGGTGGTTCAGTTGCATCGCCTTTCCCCATCCCAACCCCGTTTTTATGGCCGAACTGATTTCCAAACACAACGAAACTGCAAACCTCGTGTGTCTTAATTCTCACCGGGGGTTCCGTGTGCTCAGCCCCCGTGGTCTGGTGTGTGACAATCCAGGGCACAGCCTCCTCGGGCCCAGGACGCCATCCCGCTCAAACCCAGAGCCACGGGCGCCTCTGTAACTGCAGCCACTGCTGGCCCCGTAACACTCATATGCAGCCCCGGGACCCCACCCCCCAGCCCCGCCGTCCCCCCCCACCTTTTTACTTGGAAGAGATCTCTCTAATAAATCGGGTAATAAGCATTAGCCGCCTCTTTGTCTCTCTGTGCGTTCCGATGGTCTGAGTGGGAGTTTAAGGACTGACTTTGAAGGAGAGCACAAAGAAACCTTAGTAAGAATCAAAATAATTAACAACAACGGACCCGAATGCCTTAATAGTAGTGAGTTCCAGTTCAGCTGGGAAAAACTTAAAAGGTCACATCAGTGCAACCCAGCTGGAAGGAACAAACACTCCCCGGAGTTTGTATTTGTTCTGCCAGAGTCTCTCAAATTGAGTAATGCACGGACCCCTTTTAAGGGGAAAATATTTCTCCCGGACTCCCAATTTGAGAAACACTGCATTGAAAATAAGATCCTGTCTGTAAGCAAGCCCTTGGAAAACGCAGTTTTAATCCCAGACGCAGACGGCTCGGCTTGTTTATACACAAGACTAGGCGATCGAGAATGTGCTCACCTTACATTCAGAGATGAGTATCCAGATAAGCTCAAGAATGCATCTGCATCGGGGAAATCACCAGGACAACCCACACCCCATGACAGGGAGTCATCAAGGGTTCCCTTTGCGCCACCACTGCCACCTCGGCACCGAGCAGAGCATACAAAGCTAGCATCTAGGGTGGTGTTGGGAAGTTGTATTATAGGATAAACATTTAAGGTATTAAGTGCCATTCTCTGGGGTGGGCTGGGAGAGCTCAGAGCAGGACTTCGGGGCTTCGGGGTCCTTCAGATCTCCGGGCCTCCATTCTTGCCCCTCCAGTCTTGCCCCTGCCTGCCTGCCCTGAAGGGACCCCACCTAACGACCCCTTTCATCCCTCCCTGCACAAAGCCCTCTTACGGTTCCCCAGCACTCAGAGGACAAAGCTGGACCACCAAGTTCAAATCCCAGCCGTGCACTGCCTCATTGAGGGCGGGAGTGTTACAGTGACTTTCACTCTCTGAGCCTCAGTTTCCCCCCCTATAAAATGGGTTAATGGGGAACTTAAGGAGTTATCCAAGTTATGTTTTGTTTTTTTACCTTAACCCCTGAAACACATAGGTATTATTGGCGGGTGGTGAGGCATGATGGTGATTCTCACAGAGGGTCAGCCCAGCATCTAAGGCTTTTCCGTCTCCGTCCCAGCTCCCACCCCTCGCCTCCTTGGGCAGCCTGAACTCTCACCTACGGCGAGGCTTCCCCGCCTCCACAGGCCGTGAGACCTCGCCCCCGGGACACGCCTCCCTTGGCTGCGCCCCGAGGCCCCGCCTTCTCTTGATCCCGCCTCCTAGGCCCCGCCCACGCCGGCTCCAGTTCCTCTCTGGACCTGCTTCTTGGTCCCGCCTCCCCAGGCTCCGACCCCTCACCGTTCCTGGTTCGTCCTTGCTCCGCCCACTGCTCCTCTGGCTCCCTAAGGCTCGAGGACCCACCTGGGCCTGTCCCCTGTACTGCCTGAAGAACGAATCCCCAGCCCTAGCGACAACAGTCCGGCAGGAGTTCATTACGCAAGCCACGTTTGAGGACGGTGGGGAGGTTATGGGAGGGTCGGAATCCCCGAGGGATGAGCCGCGAGATGGGTTCCTCTCTCCCTGCTCAGGCGTGGGTGGGGCAGCCAGGCACGCGCCGCGATCGAGGAAGGCCCCCGGCGCAGGTCCCGGATGTTTGTGACCGCGCCGCCGCCACCGTCCCAGCCGATGGGTCGCGGTACACGCTCTCGTTCGCGGTCGGCTGGTCGCAGGGGCCGAAGGCAGCGGAGGCGGAGTGGGAGTCGGAGTCGGAGTCGGAGCCGAAGTTGGAGCGGGAGCCATGGGCGGCGAAGCCGACGTCGCCGAGACGACGAGAGGCGGCGCAGGCGGAGGAGCCGGGAGCGCAGGTAGGGTTGCTGTGTGAGCCGCGCTGGGGGTCCGGCTCCAGCCTTCGGGGAGCTGGGAGACCCCCGAGTTAGTCAGGGAGGGCTTCCTGAAGAAGGGGACGTCTGAGCACGTCGGGGTTAACCAGGCAGCGAGAGGAAAGCGAGAGGCGTTCCAGGCAGGGCGCCTGGTGGTTGGAAGTACAGCAGGGAGGCGCCGTCAGCGAGACGGAGGGGAGTCGATGAGGTCGGAGAGGAAGCGGGAGACCAGATCGTGCGGTCTTGTGTACCGTGGTGAAGGGTTTGACTGTTATTTCGAGGGGAGTAGGGAGCTGTGGAGGATTTTGAACCAGGGAGCGATGTGGTCTGGATTACTTTGCAGAGCTCCTGCTGGTTTTCGCGTGGAGAAGGGACTGAGCGTGTCGACAGGAGTGTCACCAGGGAGGAGGAAGATAGTGCAGCTGTCCAGGCAACAGATGACGATGGCCTTCGGGAGAGGGAGGCTGTGGGGAGGTACAGCGGGAAAATGGGGAGATTTAAGGGGGATTTCCGAAGTAGAGGTGACA